TGCCAAGTATCTTCTTCTTCAGTAGGTGGTGATGGTCTTTGCATTGCTTCCAGTCTTGGAAGTGTAGAAGCTTGACTTCTTGGTGAGAAACGAGGGTCTCTAGGGCTAGGTGTATCCATGCTCTGTTTTGGGGAAGCATTGATGTCGATGCTCTGCTCTTCATCTTCATCATTCAATTGTTCCTCATACTCTCTTTCTTCTTCTTCATTGTCCTTCATGGACTTGAGTAGTGCTTCTTCTTGTGATGGCATTGCAATAAAGGGAGGGTGGTTGGGTGTTGGACTCCTCTCTCTCTTGTAATTGGCATGAGATGATCCTTCAAGGGCTTGTAGGCGGTTGTAGATCGATCCAAGATGTTTGCTATTGCCATAGCTAGTATCTTCAATTCTCATGCTCTTGTTCAGCAACTCTTGATATTTGGAAGCAACATCAAGCTTAACTAGGGTCAAAGATCGATCATGATCCTCTCTTAACTTCTTAATGTCTTCATCAAGCTTGATCACTTGCTTGAATAGGACTTCAGATTTGTTTCCAAGGCTCTCATGGATGAAATCGATTCTTCTCTCCATCTTCTTTGTACTCTCTTCTTGATTTCTCAAGTACTCTTGAAGCATATCTTCAATCTTGGTTTGGCGCAGCTTGATAGCTCTCCCTTGGGAAAAGTGGTGTCTTGTTTATGTCTGGTGATGATGGATGGTGATGTGAATAGCTTGGGCGTGGTGGTGGGACATAAATAGGACCTTTGCAAATCTGTGAGGAAAGCTCCTTTGTATCCATTCCAAGTCTTGAAAGCATGTTGGGCATTGAACTTAGCCCATTCTTTGGCTTGTCCAGCTAGAGATAGTTGGAAAAGTTGTATCTTCTTGGGGTTGTCTCCAAGTCCATAGTCATGGCAAAGCTGCTCAAAGTTGCATAGATGCTCCTTTGCACACTCTGAAGTAGAATTGTAGAAAGGATTCCTCTCCACATGCTTGATTAGCTCTTCATTCAAACTTCAGGATGGGTGGTATGCCTCCCCATTCTTCTTCATCACGCTCTCTCTCCAGCTGATGAGAGTAGTGGTGGTACTTGGATTTGAAAGGTGGTCTCCTTGCAAATCTCCAAGAAAGCTTCTCTAAAATCGATCCATGACTCGATTGTAGAGAGTGGCTCATGCTGCGCCCAATCTAGTGCTGGTCCAGCTAGTGATGTGCTGAATAGCATCATCTTCTTCTCAAAGTCAAAAACTCCATAGGAATCACAAAGATTGTCAAAGTGATCTATGTGCTCCAGCATACTCTGAAAACAGATCATGGAATTGATCTCTCTTCACGAACTCGATCAGCTCAGGGTTAATCTCCTCTTCTGGTGTGGCTAGAAGGTGTTCTTCTTGTGTGATGCGGCTTGGCTAGACGTCTCCAGGTCGGCTGCTTCAAGGTAAGGAAGAAGTTTCTTCTTTGTCTTCAAAGGGATGGTCTTGGAGGACTATCCCATGAAGGTGGTGGTGCTTGAGGGCTTGACATCTCTTGTTCGCTCAAGAGGTCTTTGAGGTGGTATGTGGCGAATTGGCATCGCCTTTATAGGAAGAGGCTTGTGGCTCCTTCTCCATATCTAACTAGGAAAACCTGAAAAGCTAAAAACAAAAAGGAAAAACAAAAAAGGAAAAACAAAATCAAAGAAAAAAGGAAATAACAAAACAAAAAGGAAAAGATGAAACCCTAGACTAGCTCTCTTGCAAGAACTTGTAGGTGCGAATTGGTCCCCGGCAACGGCGCCAAAAACTTGATCGCGGGATCAGGTCTTCCCCTTTCCTATCCCTGATTCTGCAAGTGCACAGGTCAGAAGTAGTAAACGGGTATCGAACACGAGGACCAGATTGCACACTACAAGTATGAGTTTGAGATCAAGCTAGGGCAAAAGTATAAGTTGGTTGAGTGCAGAGAAAGTAAAGCATGCAAGTAATAAAAAAGAATTCAATAGGAGAGAAAGGCTAAGCAATAGGATAGTCTTGAGATAAGCAATTCAAGAAGCATGAAATCAATCAATTAGGGTTACCGCACTTAGGTGCTAATCTAGAACTTGAAACACTATGGTATGATCATTCCACTGTCGAGGCTCCGACCCCTTTGTTAATCTACCTAGTCGCTAAACTTTTGGTATGTCCCTAGGTGATTAAATCAAGCATTAGTTCGATCAAGATCAATTGTTCACAACCTACAAGTAGATCAACTGTCGCAGTCTAAAAGAGATTGCCCACCAAATACTAGTTCAGGCGAATGATACAGCACTGTCGAGGCTCAAATCAACCTAAAGGCATATGCTAATTGGCCAGATTAACAACAAGCATTAAGTATAAGCAAAGATGGAGATTATAAGTAAAACCCTAATTGTGATCAATCATCAAGCATACATGAATGCTATCCTTTGACTTCCTATCACTTAACAAGTAAACTACTCAGACATAGAGAAGGAACACGAATTCATATTCATAAGAACAGAGATTCGAATCCTCTCTAGAAAGAGTAACAAGCAAGAACAAAGTAAAAGCAAGCAAAACTTTATTAAGATGTAAAATAGATTGTGGTCTCTCTCCTTCTTGAGTTACAAGGCTAAAAAGAAGTATTTATAATGCTCTAAGTATGAAGAAGCGGCTAAACCTAATCTAGCTAGGTCGGCGCCGGCTTTGGGCTTGAATTGTGCGGATTGGGCTTCAAAAACGGCTTCGGGTCGACCGCGGCGTTCGGACGGTCGGTCGGGACGGTCGGCCGGACAGTCGGGTCTTGGCCGAGTCGGAACGGTCGGGCCGGATGATTTCACGGTCGGCCGGCTTGGTCGAGCGGATGAGATTTGGCCGATGGTTTCTCGGCCGGACGTGGGACGTTCTTCCCCGGCTCGGACGGATGCATCGGCCGTGGTACGCGAACGGGTTGCGCGGCCGCGAGGCTTTGTTTCCCGGCTCGCGCGCTTGGTCGTGCGCGGCGTGGCGTGACGTTGAAACTTGGCCGACCGCGGGACAATGTTTCCCGGGTCGTTGTGTGATCGGCCGGTGGTTTGGACTTTGGCCGAGACTTCAGTCGGACGGAATACGGTTTTGGCCGAGCGCGGAACATCGTTCCTCGGCCAGCCGGACTGCGCGTTCGGCGCTGATTCTCGATATGGCCGTCTGGAGCAGCCTTCACTCTTTTGGCTATAACTCCTTTTCTACTCATCCAAATGAAGCCATTCCAGTTGCGTTGGAAAGTTAACTCAATCAGAGCACGCAGGGAACTGGTCTTGATGAAATCCATTGAGTAGATCTTTTTCTAGCTCCATCCAAAGTTGATGCAGGGGCATTGAACTGGTTTAGAGTCCAAATCTCCTGTTTTGCTCCATAATGCACCTTTTTACCTAAAATGACTCTTTGCACTATAAATCCATAAAAACTACCTTTTAACACAAGAATCCACTAGAAAACCATTAGAAAACCATAGTAAAATAGCATAAAAAGTAGGTAAAATAGAGGTATATCACTTGCTCGTACAAATCCTTTGTCCAGAAGATCTTCTAATTGAGCCTTCAATTCTGCTAGTTCTGCCGGTGCCATTCGGTATGGGGTCTTTGCAATTGGCGCTGCTCCGGGTATTAGATTGATGGTGAACGGATTACTCCGTGGTGGTGGTAACTCCGTTAAGGACTTGAATACGTCTTCAAATCCGCTGACAACTGGTATCTCCTCGATCTTCTCCTCGCTTGAAATCTTCTCTTCAACCACACTTATAGCAACAAGATAGGCACTCCCCTCTATCAGGTGCTGTCTCACTCTCATCGCCGATACCAAAGATACGCCGTTGCTTGGACGTATCCCTTGATATATAGTTGAGTTACCATGGCCCTCTTCCAAGATAACTCTTCCTCTCCTACAATCTAGATAAGTCATATGGATGGATAGCCAATCCATTCCTAAAATTACTTCATAACCTACCATGGGTACTACTAGTAGATTAACCTTGAAAATCTTATCCAAGATTTCCACCGGCACATCTAATAAGCTTTGAGAATTTGGTTTCCAGGAGTTATTACAGAAACATTAACTCTTTCAACCGCATAATCAAGTTCAAACTTCCCCATTACCTCAGGAGTCACAAAACTATGTGTTGCTCCTGAATCGAACAAGACATGTGTGGGATTGCCACCAACACGTAATGTTCCTAACAAAAGAAAAACAAGAATATTCGTCATTTCTCTACATGACTCAAAATTTCGAATATCTTGAATGAATGCATGCTCTCTAATGCAATCTAAATAATACATAAGTGAGGTTCCGATCACTTATGTACTATTTCCTAAATGTAACTACCATGATGCATACTAATTATCAACAATCAAACAATCAATCAAAGAATTAGTACGTATGTAAACCTGTAATGGGACCGCCAGATTGGTCTCGGTGTTCACCAATCTCAGCGCCCATAACGTAAACACGCTCTGCAGGGGTTCGGCGCTTGTTTGGGGCTTCGTTCGCTGATCGGGTCGCTGCCGGTGGTCTATCCGCTGGTCCTGGCGCTACATTGGTCTTGGCGGGACAGTTGTTGGAGAAATGTCCCTTGACTCCACAATAGTAGCATGTTGGCTGGTATTGAGTAGTTACTGCCATTCCATTTTCTCTCTTCTCAGGGCAAGTCCTTGCAAAATGACCCTTGCTTCCACAAACGAAACAAGCTCCATCTCCTCTGCTCATGTTCTCCGTTCTTGGTCTTTCTCCTTGGGTGGTTGGGTAGGTCTTCTTTGTAGTTGAGACGTGTCTTGGGTTTGAGCCTGATCCTTGGCTTCGGTTGTCTCTGCTTCGATTCGCCATTGCTTTCTCTCTCTTTATGAAGCTCTCCACGTTGACCGCCTTTTCAATTAAGTCGTAGAGGTGAGTGTAGGTTACGGCTTGTAGTCTTCCGCCAATCTCCGGTGTAAGTCCTTGTAAGAACTTTCTGACCATAACTCCATCGTCACCATATCCATAGTTGACATACTTCTGGAGGCGTATAAACTCTGCTTCATATTCTCGTACACTTTTGGTTCCTTGTGTAAGAGTAACAAAGGCTTGCTCCATGCGATCTCTTGCTTCCAAAGGAAAGTATTTCCTTCTAAATTCTCTTTGAAAAGCTTCTCATATGATTATAGTGTGGTTGGTTTGCCTATCAACACTATTCCACCATCCTAGGGCTTCTTTCTCCAAGTAGTAGACTGCTACATCCTTCTTGAACTCGGTTGGACATCTTGTCGCTGCGAAATTCTTGTCCAAACATTGCATCCATGTGTCAGCCTCGTCCGGATTGTAGCTTCCTTCAAATCGATAAGTTCCCAAAGTCTTCATCATAGTCACGTACTTAAGAAAATCCGGGGGAGGAGGCGTTCCATTGCTTGCTCCCTGGTGTAAGACTTGAGACAGTAAGTTGTGGACCATAGTGAGGGTTGGATCAAGTGGTGGTTGTCCATTTGGGCTAGGCTGTTCTGGTGATTGGTTTCCTTGAGAGTTGTTTGCTCCAATAGTTTGTTGTTCCTCCGATTGATTAGGTTGTGGGTGACCATTTGCGACTCCATTTGGTGACTGTCGTGGTGTTGTGTTGTGTTGATCGTGATCATTCGGCGCTCTGGTGCTTTCTGAAGATGAATAGTACGGTTGCATTGGCACTTCCCAAGGTCCATAGCGCCAATAGTTCGTACTGTCCGAGTCACTGGCTGACTCCGGCATGTATCCGTGCATGAACTCATACCAAGACCCTTCTTCCTCTGATGGCATGTACGTATCGTCGGAAGTGTTGCTTGCATTTCCCGGTTGAGACACATCCTGACCCGATTGCGAACCCCGCGACCGATTTTCACCCTGGTTTGACATCTAAACCAAAAATAAAAGAAAAGAGGTAAGTCCTATTAATTATCCTAGATCGTGGAACGCACTGGATTACCCTAACTTGGCTTTTGCGACTCTATATTTTTTTTTGACTCGATAAAACATTTGAAAACTGGCTTGTCCGCGAGCATGATCATGAACCATGCTCTGATACCACCAATTCTGTAACACCCCCGATTCGATCTATAAATAAATCTAATCAAGAATATTACAGATAGGAATTAAACAAGTCCAGACTTGAGTCCCGGAGGGGATCCTTGACTCATATCCGGTCCCGCCCAACTCCCTTACCGCAATATCCAATATTCTAAGGCTTTGCAACCCGTATTATGAATATTACGTTGTGTTAGTTCAGACAAAACAAATATCATCCGAACAAGCCATCTTTTAATAAAACATAACTTTATTTCCCATTTATATTTTATTAAAGATGGAGGTTTTTAAAATACAAAATAAAGATTTTTACCAAGGCCTAGTGACCAAATAAACCAAAATAAACCAAGTGTGGGGTTTAAAGTCATTAATCTTACAAATTAAAATTTTACAAAAGCCAAGGGAAATCTACTCCAGTGCCTTACGTTCCACGATACTTCCAGGTTGATCTAGGGGTTTCCTGAAAAATAAAATAATCATCATAAGTAACCTAGTGTTACTTAGTGAGTCTAGGACCCTCTATACAACAAGTTTCTCCCCACACTAATCTAAGAACAAAGTACTAATAAAGTACGCATAACTCATCTAATTGGTAACACACATAGTCAACCAACGAGATGAGAGAAGCGGAAGCAAACAAACACACAATAATGCAGATATGCTCTACATGATCCTATATGCATGCAATAACATCCCATGTTATGAATGCATCCTAATATGCATTTTTAGGCCTCTAATACATGCTGATACTCCCCTCACGCGATATCCGTTCTAGAAATCACACAGAAGACTATTACCGGAAATCTCTCCACCGTTATCCGTTACAATCACGGAACTCACGGTACTTGTGTTCAAATCACCTGATAAGAACACAAGCTTAACTCATACCGTCGTACTACCGTTCGGCCAAGGGAGCTACCCAAGTATATCCGAACCTTCCCGCACCGCAGGGTATGAGGAGTACCAAGACATGCCCTAAGATCATGATTTACGCCAAAAATCAAATGATCTGTCTACTCTATGATTCACTAGGACTTTCATGCAAAAGATCTATAGCCCTTGCTATATTTCTTTAATTAATGGATCATAACCTCCTTGTTATGTCCCATGGAACCAATAGCCCTTGCTATGTTCCACCCATATGAACCCATAGTTTTTACTATGTCTCATATGCACTCAGATTTATAATTCTTTGAATTAAAATCCTACCAAAAATCAAAAGAAAACAAACGAAAATAAAGAAATAAAAGTTACTTTGGGACTCTTACCCACAAGTAACAACTAAATTTCTAGTTGTCATGTAGTCTAGTCATGAGAACACCTTTGGATCGCATGTTTCATGAGTTCGATTATACATGCAAACCTAGAAATTAAAAGAAAAACAACTAAGCTTTTATGAGATCTAATCGGATGAAACACCTTTGGATCGCATGTTCCATACCGAGATCGATTCTCATAAAAACAACTCAACTAGACTAAACTCTACTACCAAGACTCACAGATTTAACGATGGTGTAGACGCTTGACACTCCAAACTCTATACCGTCGCTCCTAAGCTCTCGTCCTACTTCTACAATTCACTCACCTTACTATATCTTCACTCTCTCACTTTTTTACTAAACTTAAGGAAGAAAATGAAGAACCATAGTTTACAATGGTGAGGGAGGGGTATTTATAGTGGCAGAGGAGACATGTGTGGGTTGAAGTCTTCCAATAGTCGTGTAGCATCTTGCAAACATGTAGAGGTCTCTCTTGACACTTGTCGAGGGCTTCTAAAACTTAGGGAGTAAGGAATGGGTTTGATCGACACTTGTTGGCTCTTCTTACACTTGTAGGATAGAAGGTTCCATTTGTCATAGAAGTTTGGAGTGTCCAACTCCCAAATAACAAGTGTTGATCCTTCAAAAAGTCACTTTTTGTCTTCTCGTGACACTTGTCGAAAAGTGACTCTCTCGGCCAGCTTTTTTCTTCTCGAACGGATTGGCCGAGAGTTGCTTGGTCGAGTCGATTGTTTCTCGACCATTTATTTTTGGCCGAGACTCCTTTCGGCCAAAGTCGTCTATGGCCGGCCGCGAACAAAATAACCTCCTTGGGCGCGAAATGGTTGGTTTCGCGTGTTGGGCGCGTTGGGCGCTCCGGCCGCGCTTACGTCACTATGAGGGATATTACAATGATAGTCCACAACAAACGGCGAATGAATTTTCAAACGGACTGTGCAGATTTGGTGAAGATGGTGTCCAGACCCAGAGAGTGGCTGGCGTTTGAGATTCTACTTGATGAGGTTGAGAAGTGCAAAAGGAAGTTCCAGGCGTTCTCCTTAACCCACATCCCAAGGACAAAGAACACAAAGGTGGACAAGCTAGCACAGAGTGCTCGAGATCAGCCTTACGGTGTGTATTATATAAACTCAGTTCCACCGGTCTTGCTCCCCGAACCGTTTTAGGAACTTAGGCTGTTATAAAAAAAAAAAAAATTATTTCTCTTGTTACCTATTTTGACTACTCTAATTCCTGTAACCAAACATATTTATATCTTTCTAAATTTACCAAAAATAATTATTAAACTCTTATAATAAATCTTACAATTAAATTCGTTTTTATTTGTACTTTAAAAATCAGTAAACATGTAAAATATTTAATTTCATTTTACAGTTTACATATCAAATTAAAGACAGTATATTACAAATTTATATGACAAAGTATATGATTTATTTGTTATTGCATTAAAAATTAAAAAAAAATATTTGCAATTATTTAATAGGTGAAACACAATTTTATTCAAATTTAAATATACATAAACAAATTTCTGATTTCATATATTAATTGTTGCTATGTTGATTTTCTAACTTAAACTATAAAGTGTTGTTTAGAATTATATCATGGACGAATCATATTACTTACAAAACCGTATCAGAATATACACAAGTAAATTTAAGGTTCTCCATTAAACAATTAAACTTTTTTTTTAACTAAAACTCTATTAGTTTAATTTTACTTCCTTATCATTTCATCCGCGTATAACGCAGGCATTATTCTAGTTATAAATAAAAAGAGAAAAACAACCCCGTTTTCACGGTTTAGGCTGCTCCCATTTCGCTCGCCGCTACTACGGGAATCGCTTTTGCTTTCTTTTCCTCTGGCTACTAAGATGTTTCAGTTCGCCAGGTTGTCTCTTCCCTGCCCATGGATTCAGCAGCAGTTCAAAAGGTTAACCTATTCGGGAATCTCCGGATCTTCGCTTATTTTCAACTCAGGAAATAAAAAGATGACGAAGAAGAGAGATGAAAATAAAAAAGAGAATAGAAAGTTTGATAAGAATAAAAAAAACAGTAGAAAATGAAGGAAAAAGTATGAAAAAAAAAAGTAAAAGACAAAGTAAAAGAAGAAAAAGATAAAATGGGGTTGGGTTTTACGATGTACGGTTTATACGGATGTACGTAAGGTTTAGTTTTTAGTGCATTTAAAAAAAATTGAATACACTACATTACCGATTAAAAAAAAATCTTTTAAGAAAACGATAAAAATAAAAGAAAATTCAAAACGTACTTGGAAAATGTGGGGTTCGGATGTACAGTTTGGGGGAGGGGGTTACACTGTGGGATTTGGTTTAAGGAGTAGGGTTCGTTAGGGGGTGATGTTACACTGTGGGGTTTGGGTTGAGGGTGTAGGGTTTATACTGATGGGTAGGGTTTAACTTTTGGTGCATTTTAAAAAATTTGAATTATTCTGGAAGAATTTCATGGTTAAAAATCATTGATTATAAATTTATATATACTTTTCTATATTACATTCATAAATAGAAAAAAAAAACTAAAACAATTAAAGCAAATCCAGAATCGAAAGATAACAAAACCAAAAGATCTTTTAAAAAAATCTCGACTATATAAAGATAAAAACTATTTCACATGTAAATCCTTGACAATCGAAATTATCAAATGAATTGATAAGTGAAATACAAGACGTAGACAAGAACGAATAAAAACACGAGTAAAAGAAAAAAAGACAGTGAAAAAGAAGATGAGAAATTATAAGAAGAATAAAACTCGAACATGAAAAAATAGAAATCAAAGAAGAAAAATGGAATGTAAGGAGAAAAAAAAAATACAATGAAAAATGAAGAGATAAATAAAAACTAGAATAATATGATGTCAGAGAAGATAAAGATGATAAAGATATATAGAGGGGAGATGAGGAAGAAAGAAAACTGGAAAAAAAATAATGTAAAGGAATTTAGAAAGAAAAGGAAGAATATTGAGTTGAAGAATATGAAGATACATGAAAAGATTGAAGAACAAAAATTGAAAGAAAAAGATGATGAGAACGAATATAAAATTGAAAGAAAATTAAGAGATGGAATAATTGGAGAAGAATAAGAAGGAGAATAAAACAAGAAGGAGAAATTATTTGTATCTCTTAAAGCGAATGAAAAGATTATGTAAAAGAACAAGAAAAAGAAGACAAAAATAAGAAACATCAAAATTACAAAAAATAAGAATTCGGTGAAAAAATGATAAATACAATTACGATTAAAAATTATACTACTTATGTTATTAAAATCTTTACTTAATTATGTTTTTAAAAAATAGTGTACCCGCATAAAGTGCGGGATAACCGCCTAGTATATCTGAAATCTCAAAAATATAGCCGAAAATCTGAGAATACACCTGAAATCCCAAAATTAATTAAAAAGTTCTAGCAAACTTAAAAAAAAAACTTGATATACCTGAAAAAACTAATACATACTGATATTTTTAGGTCTCTTGGAACCCAATCATATATCAAGTGGGTTCAACTATTATTTGGTATCCATGGATATCCATGATGGATCTAGAAATATTTTACCCTATCGGATGAAATGCCTATACTCGAACCCAACCCGAATCGGTTTTTTAGGGATTCTTGTTTGTGTTTTCGGGTGCCGGTTTAATGCTAACCCATAAATAAATTAGTACTATTAAATAAATTAGTACTAATAGAAAAACCCAATTCAAGAGAAGCCCATATTTTCTATGAGCAATTAACAAGGCAAAATCATAGATATAGAAATGGAGAAGGGTAATAACTAATAACGTAATTTCAAGAGAGAAAGAGGGAGGGGGAAAATGACCAAATGGAAGAAGAACAGTTTGCGCGGCCTTTCTGACATTATTCTCTGAACTGTTTTCTCCCCAATGCCCCCACTTACTTCTCCTCATGCTTTGCTTAGATCTCTTCTCACTTGACGGACCAAAAAGACTTTCTTTCAAATTACAAATCTTTTCAGTTTCTTATTTTTAGTTTTTTACCAGTTTAAAAATTAGAATTCTAAGGAAAGTAAAAGACTATTTGGACCTATGAGAGAAAAAGTCAATTGACCCAGGATCCTCAGGGGATTTCAAGTTTTTTGACCGGAAATGGAAAATTTTGAGGAAAGTGTTTTAGAAAAGAAGAAAATTTCTTAGTTTTTTGGGAATTTGAAATCACGTTTTAAGAGCTTCTTAATCATGAATTTAATGAGATCTGATTTAAGACCAATTAAATAATACCCGTCCCTCACATTTATATTGTGCTCCCTCTTCCCCTATATTGAAAGGGACTTGAATTAGAGTAAAGACACAAAAGCTCTCTCTCTCTCTCTCTCTCTCTCTCTCTCTCTCTCTCTCGCAAGTGGTTCAACATTTCTCTTTCTTTAAGTCTCCTGTCTTTGTCTCTTTGATTTTTCGTTTCTCACATCTTTGAATTTTGTTTGCTCACTGAAATTTTTAACCTTTTTCTAGTTCTCACACTCCTTCTTCAGTGTAGTTTCAGTGGAGTGTTGATTTAGCAGAGAATGTGAGTGTTCTGAGCTGAAGATAAATCGAATCTCAAGTCTCAGCCAAAGGATCTTGTTGGTGCTACTGATCTTGTGTATATTTAGGTGGTTTTCAAGTGTCTCTTATGCATTCTCATTTCTGTCCGTCTCTCTCTGTCTAATTCTCTAGGGTTTGATTCTCTGAGATTCTTCCAGATTCATGCATTTTCCGCATTTTGTGGTTTTGGTTGATTGATTCTCTGATTCCTTAGAAAAGGTTAAAGAATTCAGAGAAACGCGCCACCTTGTTTAGTTAATGCAAAGAAATCTGAGTTTAGATCTAAAGATTTAACAGAAGAAAAGACACTCCCACCAAGTGTTTGAGGAAATGGATTTCCTGAAAGTTAGAAAATTTCGCAAGTCTAGGAAGCCAAACATAGAAAAGGAGAAAGAAGACAAGACATTGACACAGCAAGATCAAGCAAGGAGTGAGAACACTGTCGCCACTGTGACGGATTCGGCGAAACCAGATGAGGTCGAAGATGACGACGACGATTTCATCACCAATGAGGTTAAAAGAAGGCTGAAGGAGTTGAGGAGAAACAGTTTCATGGTGTTGATACCTGAAGAAGACGAAGAAGAAGAAGAGGGATCTTATCTAGACGAAGATGAGGGAGAAGACAAGTGTTCGATTGAGTGGAGAGATGTTGTCGCTGAAGGACTCCAATGGTGGGGAGGCTTTGATGCGGTCTATGAAAAGTATTGCGAGCGTATGCTCTTCTTTGATCGCTTAAGCTCTCATCAGCTCAAAGAAACTGGTAAAGAAGCTTCTTGCTTTTGATCTCTTAACAGTTGGATTGTGGAATGCCTTTACAAAGTCAATAACTTTGCGCTCGAATTTCGGATTGTTCTTCCATGGATTTGTTGATTTACTCTTTATCACTCATTTCAGGCATTGGAATGGCTCCAAGTCCTTCAACTCCATCGCCAAGATCTGCATCTAAGAAGCTGTCATCGCCTTTTCGATGTCTTTCTCTTAAAAAGATGGATGTTCCAGAGAAAGATACAGAGCATTTGCAGCAGACAGAGATGGACCCTTATCAAGATCTAGAGACAGCTTATGTTGCTCAACTCTGCCTCACTTGGGAGGCACTTCACTGTCAATACACGCAGCTGAGCCACTTAATCTCATGCCAACCCGAAACACTGACTTGCTGCTACAACCATACCGCTCAACAGTTTCAGCAGTTCTTGGTCTTGTTGCAGAGGTATATAGAGAACGAACCATTCGAACAAGGCTCAAGATCTGAGCTTTATGCGCGTGCCAGAAATGCAATGCCTAGGCTACTTCAGGCTCCCAAGATTCAAGGTGGGTTCTTTTTCTCTCACAACCTTATGTGAAGTAGTAACACTTTAAGTTGAATTATGTTCAACCATCTTCTCAGGGTCAGATAGAAAGGAGATGGAGAAAGATGCAGACTTCATGGTCCTCGCTGATGATCTCATCAAAATCATCGAGAGCTCGATCCTTACATTCAACGTTTTCTTGAAAATGGATAAGAAGAAACCAATTGGGGTCATTCACTTGTTTGGGAACCACAACAACAGCCATATGCATTCTACAACTCCTTTGCAACTGGTTCAGTCATCTATTGAAAAGGTACGGTTTCTTCT